GAATAGAGTGTTTTTTTTTTTTTTTTTGGTGTTCAATTGATCTTACATAGATCAAGATAATTACATTAAATTAGATAATCATTTAAACTCTAACAAAGCTAATACCAACAATCATTACGAGGAAGATTAAACTGGACAATGAAAGTCCAAATTAGATCGTAATAGGAAATAAATGAACAACAAAATAAAGACCCTCAAATAATAAGGAGTAAATAATCAATCTTTGCCAATGACAAGAATTGACTCTCTAATCTCTCAGTTGAGATTGTACAAGGTGGCCAATTGACTTGATTGAATTTGAGCCCCTATTGTTCATCTTAACCTCTAGAATGAGCATGTTTCATGTTATGTGGATACATGCGTGAATTTCACATACGTATATTTAGTGAATTTTTTTTGTATTCGTTTTTTTCAAAATTATGATGATAACATACAATGTACCAAAAATTGATACTAAAGGCTATTTTAATTTCTCTTAAAATAATCGAATATAATCAAAATCCCAAAAGAAGATTTAACATACAATGTAAACATTGATTCGGACACACTGAAGTACTCCCAAAAGAAGATTTAACATACAATGTAAACATTGATTCGGACACACTGAAGTACTCCCAAAAGAAGATTTAACATACAATGTAAACATTGATTCGGACACACTGAAGTACTCCCAAAAGAAGATTTAACATACAATGTAAACATTGATTCGGACACACTGAAGTACTCCCAAAAGAAGATTTAACATACAATGTAACAATAATCGAATATAATCAAAATCCCATAATAAATTGTTAAATTGTTGTTTTTACATTGTATGTTAAAAGAAGATTTTTGATTATTGCACCGTTGAATACACTAAAGTTCAAATTCGGATAAATCCCAAAAGAAGATTTAACGTACAATGTAAACATTGATTCGGACACACTGAAGTACTCCCAAAAGAAGATTTAACATACAATGTAACAACAACAAAGACACACTAAAGTTCAAATTCGGATAAATCCCAAAAGAAGATTTAACATACAATGTAACAACAACAAAGACACACTAAAGTTCAAATTCGGATAAATCCCAAAAGAAGATTTAACATACAATGTAACAACAACAAAGACACACTAAAGTTCAAATTCGGATAAATCCCAAAAGAAGATTTAACATACAATGTAACAACAACAAAGACATTGGTTTGTTTTGACTTAATTAAAGTGGGTGGAAGGAAGATCTCTATGCAGATCTGAGGTGTGTAATGTGTTTGTGGGTACATTATGAAAATTGGATGTTAGTTTATTACTTTTTTTTCAGGATGTTGCAGCAAAGATTCTTTCAATTTCTCAAAAGGGTCCTCCAGGAATTTGCGTCCTCTCTGCCAATGGCACTGTTTCTCATGTTACTATTCGCCAGCCCAGTTCATCCGACGGTGTCTTGACATATGAGGTATGTCTTCTAACATTGTTGTGAGGTGTCTTATAATTTTGCTTTATATTTAGATGTAATGTAAGAGGCCTTTAAGGAGGGCTTTCGAGAAGTTCAGAGTTTAGAGGTATTTATTATAATTTTGGGTTAGGGTTTTAGAGTTGAGTGTGTGAGAAAAATCGTTGAGCAGTCAGGTTAAGGTTCAAAACTCTGTATTATTTATTCTTTTATTTTTTGGCTTGCTAATCAAACAGCTTCTGTGAACTGGTTGTTGGCCTAGGTGTCTCAACCCTCTACGGTGCCTCCATCCTCCACCGTCGAGAGTATGATGAGTTAGCTACCATGTCTTCCCAAAGCAAACGTAGAGAATCCCCAATTTGATGAAACTGTAAATCATCAATTTTAGCTTAACAAATTACTAATTTTATTTATTTATTTTTTGGTTCCCATTGTCTTTTGGGATTTTGATTCTCAGACAATTAAAAGAAAAAATAATAATAATAAATTGTGGTTGTGGTTTATGTGGAATGATTCTATGAACAGGTGATGTTGTGAAAATTTGTTGAAAATATTTTTCTTTAAATTTTTGTGCCTGACATTGTAAATGCCTTTTTCTTAGACAGAATTGATATGAGTGATAATTAAAGAAAATGTTGGTACTGAGGATTAATTATCCACTTTAATAGAAATGGGGTTGATTTACTTTAGGTTTTTACCTCACATTTGATACCTTGATGATCTGTGAAGGTGAGTTGTTCGCAAACACAGCAGGAGTGGACTTTACACCCCATGTCGTAACTGTATACACAGGAGAGGTAATACATTGCAATTATTGGTTTGTTTTGACTTAATTAAAGTGGGTGGAAGGAAGATCTCTGTGCAGATATGAGGTGTGTAATGTGTTTGTGGGTACATTACTTTTTTTATTACTTTTATGTTAGTTTATTACTTTTTTTGGATGTTAGTTTATTACTTTTTTTTACACAGGAGAGATAATCTATTAAATAGAGTCACCAAAACATATATATTGTATATATAGATTTTTTTTAAAAGAAGGAAATCTGCAATGTTTGCTTACATGGTTTTGTGTGCATGCTGCTCACATTTATGGTCATTTCAGAAAAGTAGAATAGAAAAGTTGACAGGAAATGATTTATTGACAGGAAGATTGATTTTTGAGTGTGATTGATTAAATAGGGCTCTGATTAAAGCACCTGCATATAAGATATCTGATTAGATTGTAATTCAACCTTCCCTTTTTGGTTTGCTTAATCAGTTACATAATAGTATGTCATTGTCAGTTCAATTTGAATCTTGCGCATTGATTGATTTCTATTTTAAAGAATTTTAGCAGTCACATCCCAAAAAAAAAAATTTCAAAAGAAGGATTTAATCTGATGTATTCTGTGTTTCCTGTTATGTAGTTTCCTTCCATGGCATCCTTGCATGGTGCTCTACCAAATGTGGCAGCTCCAGCAGGCTTATTGAGCACTTCCAGCCTCGGTACCCCTTCGACATCATGGATGCCATCTCAGTCATCTTATCCATCAGCAATGCCTGCCCAGGCACCATCTTTTACATATGCAGTTCCTCCAGTTCCTTTTTTTTTTAGTAGGGAAAATAAAATTGTATTTTCAACATATTGTTAGAACACCATTGGTTACCAAGATGAGTTCAATTTGTTAGAATTGAATAGGGAAGTATCATAGAAAGATTGATTTCAAGTCACATAGGCCCATATACAATTCTTAGACATGCTTGCCTCCAAAGCTTTTTCATGATGTTTAGATACTAATTTGGAAATCATGATGTTTTCGCAGTGACAATTCTTAGACATGCTTGATCTCTTTGCATCTAATTTCGGGTCTCTCTGACCTCTGCTGTCTTGGATTCTTCTCATTTTTTGGGTTTTGGGATGAAATCAATTCTAATTGCTATGCATATTTTTGGGATGAAATCGATTCTAATTGCTATGAAATCGATTCTAATTGCTATGCTATGCAAAAAATAATTTCTACTATTTTTATTTACATAGATCCTGAGGTCCAAGGGGTCTTAATTGCTGCTCAGAAGCACTGGCCTCACATCCATATATTTGATTCGCAGGTTATGGCAGATTCGGCTGTCAAGATGGTAAAAGTTGGTTGCCAATATATCACAGTTCTAGGAGTTGATTTTATGTCAGAAAATGTGCGGGCAATCCTTTATCAGGCTGGCTTCTTAGAGGTAGTCTTTTCCTCTTCTTTTCGTGTATTCTTATTTCATCACTTTGTCAGTTATAAATCCAATTCTAAAAACAACTTTCAAGTTAACAGAGTAAAAAGTGCTACTTGGTCAACAAATATTTTAATTGAAGCATAGATTTCATATTTCAAGAACTAATAAATTAACATAATTAAAACATGAAAACCAAAATCCCATAAAATGCATGCATTGAAAACTATTAATGTGAGGTAATTAGTTTTCTATCTCTATGTATATATAATGATTATTTTAATATAATACCTTTGTTCATATAATGAGAAGGGTAAAATTGTTTTTTTAAGACTTTACATTTTTCAGGAATGTTCTGTCACTTGGTTTGTTGCACGAGGAGCAATTAACAAATAGCATTCACACAATCAGTTGGTGTGGAATCCACTTTAATGATTATATAATGGATATTTTATTTAATAGCATCAGTACCCAATTTGTATACATATAATCGGTACCCAATTTCTTGCTCACTGTAGAACTGATGAGTGTTTTTTTGAGGTATATAAATATGTACTCTATTCTCTGTTAGTTGCAATATTGATCTTTTGCCAATACTTAACATGTGAAATTCAATGGTGCAATACTTAATTGTTGTGGTGCTATCAGATTGGTGGAGAAAGCTTGAGAATTTATAAGCGTGAGATTCAAGAAAATGTTTTGGAAATTGTTGGCATTTCCCCTGAGCAGGTGAGGAGACACTTAATGAATACTGGTTGGGTTGCTCAATTATTAATTACTAGGGCTGTGTTTTATCTCTTACGTTGTAAATTATTTTTATATTCCCATCTAATGCAATATGTAAGTACCAAATTGGAGAAAGTATATGTAGATCTTTTGTATTACCTGATATTAATATTATCATGGTTTTCATACTTCTATGGGCCAAAATTTTCATTGTACAACTAACAATCATCAATATATTTTCATGCATTGACCAATTCTTCAAGATATTAGATCACTGTGGTGTGCACACTACATTGAATTGAAACACATGTGATGTTGGCACTTTGGAAAATAGTTCCTGGCAAGTTTTGGGTAGATCACTGTGGTTTGCACACTACTTTCTGATTTTTATTTTCTTTTTAGTTAAAATATTTTTGAAATGATAGATACAGCCACATATATTTACCATTTAAAGGTGAGTTCCAATTGGACACCACTTGGAACTTTTGAATTTCCTTAGATTGATGTGTTAATACTTATTGCTCCCAAGGAAAGGAATAGCCGAATGTTAAATCTAGAAACTATTGACCCATATGTAATATGGGCTCTGTTTTGTCTACAGGCTGAAGCAAAATTTGGCTATCTTATGGATGCTTTAGACATGGGTGCTCCTCCCCATGGTATGAACTGCTAGCTTTAGACATGGGGCCTTCCAACTTTTTGGGAGCAAAACCATGTAGGAATGAGATGCATCTCTCTTGAACTCTTTTGTGTGCTTTTACTCCAACTTCAATTCCTCTTCTTATTTTCCTGTTGTTTATCCTTTTCTGTTTTAGAGTTCAAAAGAGAAGCGTTTTTTATATGATATTGTTGCAAGTATATTACTATCTCTTTTCACTTCCTTTGGTTTGTGTGTTTTATTTTGTGTTTATAATTTTTTTTTTCTTCACTTGCTTGGCAAGGATGCTTTTATTTTTATTTTTTGTGTTGATATGAAGTTTATACTTTAGAGTCATAAAGTCTGTTAATAAAACCAAAATGTTTTGTTATTTTAGGGTTCTGTTTTGGAGTTTAATTGGCGTATTGAGGAAACCGTCGAGTTTCATGATTTTGTTGTTCGAATTTGGTACAGCTGTTCAATTTCATGATTTTGCTATTTTACTATGAAGTTGAGGGCTTAGTTGAAGTGCTCTGTCTCTATAAAAATAGAGAACTGTCCTTTTGTGTTTAATGCTTTTATGATTTTTGCACAATCTGTATACAACTTCTATATGTATTACATTTCCCTTACTGTAAATTTCCATTTTATAACTATTTGTTTATGGACATGTTTGAATTATATTCATTGCTTCACTTTTAATTACTATATTTTGTTGCCCAAATCAGTGCATATTTAGTTATTTCAATATATATAGATATTGTTTAATTATGTTCACCGTCTTAATTCATTTCATTAGATGTTGTAATAAAAATAAAAATAACAGTTAATAACTATTACAATTACTATATTATTGTAGTTGTTGTTTATATCATTGTCACTGTCATAATTCATTTCATTGGTGGGGACACATTGCAGTATTTTGATGGATATGGATACCATGGAGCATCACTTGAGCAAACATATCGATGTTACCCTGCATCTTTTATTGATAAGGTTGGAAAGCTTTCCTCAACATGATAATTGTTTTGTTTTGTTTGATTCACTTAATTAATTTGATTTTATTCATTATACGGTTTCAATTTTATGTTTTGTCATCTTTTCTATGCCCTCAACCAAATTCATGGCACTCTTTAATCAAATGTAAATGTAAATGAATTCTGGAAAATTAACAATTAAGATGATACCATATGTGCTCTTTCATTTCCCTTGAAAGCCTTCATGTCTTTCTTTACTCATTTTCGTGTCCACCCACAAGACTTAGACTACAAACACTTCTTCAAACATCTGCAACTGCCCTACTAACCATACAACCAGCCCAGCCCAAAATAATGTTGTCTTTTACTTATTCATATTCGAATTTCTAATTTATTTGTTTCTTTTCAATCCTGCAGCCACAGATTGAAAATGGTGATAAAAGTAAGTTATCAAACTCTAAAATAGTTGTTTTCATAAAGTAGGTAATGATGATGGTAATAATGATATGATATGATGTATATATATATATATATATTGGATCATTAATATGTATTGTTATTGGTTTTGAAAATCCAGATGGGTATTCAAATCAAAACAAGTGTAGTTGGATCAAAAGTTGGAGCCCCAAAGGCAAGAACAGATGATTTATTTTTTCCCCTTCTCTCTCTGTTCTTCTCCTTCATTTCATGAATACATACATTTTTAGGGTTGTTTATAACCTTCTTGGGTTTGATTGGTGCATTTGGGTTTGATATTTTTTTCCCCTTCTCTCTTTGTTCTTCTTCATTTCATTAATACATACATTCATGAATACATTGATATATTTTAGTTTCATCATCTGGGTTTAAAATTGGGTTCATTGGGGATTACAATCTGTGTAATTTGGGGTATATTTTTTATTATAATTGGGGTAAATGTTTCATTACATGTACATTTACTCTCACTTTTTAAACCCAGATGTTTGAGTGTAAATGTAATGATACTCAGTTTTTAACAAACACTGATACATTGATACATTGGGGCTTACAATCTGGGTTTGAGTGTAAATGTAATGATACATTGATACATACATTTATATATTTTTAATATAACAAAGACTTAAAAAGTGAGTGTAAATATTTTAACCGTGCCAATGTTATGTTTCATCATCTGGGTTTGATATATTTTTCGTGTGTATTATGAAAACTCAACATGATATGTATACGCGTGTGTATTATGATGTATATGTATAATGGTATAGTAATTTGTCTTAATTTTATAGCCTTTAGTTTGAGTCTGTATTTTGAGACAATTTAGAGATTTATTGCTTAGATGAGCTACTGGAATATGTGCTTGTAACGCCCTCAAAAATAAACCCATTATATGTATATCATCGACATGCTTTATTTAAAAAAAACAATTTATTAATTCATTCATCAGAGTATTACTAAATAAAAACATTACTTGTAACATCAAATTAAATGCCCTATGGGCTTACATCTTTCCAAGCCAACACTTGGACACAAAATATGAGTTCTAACCCAAATACAAATAAAGCCCTTGGCTTGTTTATTTATCAAATAAAAACAAACAATTAAAGCTAGTCTTCACAATCCAAATCCTTCCAAGCTAAGTCCTGGGAGGTAGATTATCACCTGGACTTGAAAATGATGTTCCCATAAAGGGTGAGCCACAGCCCAGTAGAAATATACTAAACCAAATATAAGCATTGAATAAAGCATCAGTATTTAATAGATGGTTAACCAAGATAATCAATTACATCATCAAACAGTCTCATGACACCAATGACTAAATCTCGTTTTACTTTCCAACATTATCAATATGGCTCATGTAACACCCTCAAAAAAAAACATTAAACCCATTAGATAAGACATGCATTTATATACAAAGCATCCACATTCCTTTATTCATTAGAGTTCCATATACATATGTATTACATGTTAACATCGAAACAAAATGCCCTACGGGCTTACAGCTTTCCAAGTTAACACTTGGTTACAACAAAAAGGTACTAACTCGTTTACAAATTAAGCCCTTGGCTTGAAGTTACATGTAATACATCAAAAGTTAAGCGACAAAACATGTCCGCCACTAGCCTCCCAACTATGTCCTTGGAGGTGGCATGCTTCCTGCACCTGAAAATGATATTCCCATATAGGGTGAGCCACAGCCCAGTAGAAATACACTAAACCAACCATGGACAATGACTAAAACATTAGCAATTGATAGTTGGTCAACACTGATACAATCACATAAATTGAGAACATATCCCAAATATTTACCCGCTTTACAGATATTATAAACAGTCTAAAATCTCTTGGGAAGACTTATACTAATGTTGAAATTGTCAGGAAAGTCCTCAGATCACTATCAAAAAGTTGGGAGACCAAAGTCATTGTAGTGATTGAAGCTAGGGACTTATCAACATTAAGTCTTGACAAGTTAATGGGATCTCTCCTAACCCATGATCTCATTATCCTCCACCGATAGCCCAAAGCAGTTATTTCTAAATAGAAAATAAATGCACAATGGATATTCAATCAACATTTCATTTCTTCATTCTTCTCAATTAATTATCCCAATTAATTAAACAATGTAATTAGGCCATTTTCCATAATTACCATTTCAACCCTTAGGTCCCATTTTCATCAATGATTCAACATTCATTCTATTTCTCTATGCCAAACATGCATCTAGGTTTATTATGAGTAAAACCCCAACTTTTGTAAAATAGCACAAAAGCCCCAAATTTTCACAAAATGACCAAACCAACCCCAACATCTCAAAATACCAAAATTTGAAGACAAAATCCATAGAGAGGAGTAGGATATCCCTACCTCAAATTCGGAGCCCCAAAGGAGATGAAGACCAAAACCAAGACGCTCCAAATCTCGAAATTTTCAGATCAAAAGGAAGCCCTCGACGATCAACACAACTTTCGTGAAGACCAATGGCGAGCAAACAACCACTACTAGATCAAATCTAAGAGAGAAGGGTCGGTTTAGAGTGAGAAGCTCTGAAAATGGCTTTTTGGAAAAGTAAGAGAGAGAAAAGAAAGTGAAAAAGTGATTTGAAGAGTCACAAATTCGGGACTTTAACCCAGGTATCCGCTCGAGCGTAAAACACCCCGCTCGAGCGGCCACTCACAGACTTCCGCTCGAGCGGCCAACATCTCGCTCGAGCGCAGAATGCACTCACCCAGCACTTTTGCAGAACCAGGCCTCCGCTCGAGCTTCCAACTCTACGCTCGAGCGTCACTCAGACAACCCCGCTCGAGCGGCCAATCCCACGCTCGAGCGTACAACGCTGCACAGGAAAATACTGGATGGGTGTAATCTCCGCTCGAGCGCCAGAAACCCCGCTCGAGCGTACAGGCCAAAATTTGGGCAACTAGTTTTGGTTTCTAAACTCAACCAACCTGTAACAAACCCGCCCAACACATCCCATAACTCAAATATGAAGTAAAGAGGATGCAAACAAGATAATAAACCACAACTAACATCCACGGACACATGTCCGGATCACTGTACAACAAGGGTAAACCCGGGATCGCTATAGCTCAGAACTTGGCCAAACTTACAATAGTGAATTATATATATATTATATTCACATTCTTCCAATGTCAACAAACAAATGAGACTCAAGCTCAAATCAAAACACTTCATACTTCCAGATTGATACACATTTTAGTGCTGTATCAATAAAAACACTTCTATATAAATAAGCACACATAAAAGTGATGCTAATGGAGTCCATCCCCTATCTCCTCCCAAACAAAAATGCATATACAATGTATTAAACACTCGTCATATACAACACACAATCAATACATGTATTTTCTGTATTAATTCAACAGTCTAAATCAATGACTTAACCAATGTGATTAGTTTCAGTTTTCCCTAATCCACATGCAATGTCTACAACAATCACGACTATCCTCCACCGATAGCCCAAATGATTGAAAGAGTTACACCCCATGCATTCTTTTGGAATTTTGAAAAAAAATGATTTAAAAAGTACAAACAAAATAATCAAAAGATATTATTGGAGTTAAACTTAGACACCCAGTCCGAACCCGATCTCTTGAGCTTGGACAGACCCCTCTACACTTACCCACCAAACCCACCCGAATTGGGTGTGACCATAAGCATAAGATCCCTAGTGCTCCTCAAGTCAGCTGGCTCTCAGCCACAAGCCCACCAAAGGCATAGTTGTGAGAAACCAGTGGCCCAAAATTAATGGGCATGAGTCTGACTTCCCAAACACAGTTGGTGATAACCCAACTATTTGTACCAAAATTTAAGCTTTGCAATTTGAGATCCAATGAAACATATATGGCAAAAATAATAATTGAAGCAGCAACTAAAAACAATGTGAAAATATCAGAATTTTTTGCAAATTTTTCCTCTTCCTACCAGAAAATTTTCCCTTAAACTGAGAATTCGAGTTCTCCACCCGGAAGTAATTTCCATTGAAACAAATGATGTCAAAATCTTCTAATTCATCAATAAGAGTATGGATTCAAACTCTTTGCAAATGTATCACTATTAGCATAATATACAACTTTCTGCTAGATCGACTCCGTTGTTGAAAGCCGACTCTTCACCTCTTTATGTCTAATTCTTTGCCACACAATGAACGAAAGCGCATGGTAAAAGCAGCTCATTGGCAACCAGAACTTGAACAACATTCTCATCAACACTTTGATCAAACAACAGTCTTTCTCATTCCATCGAAAGCTATCTCTGGAAGGTCTAACTACAAAACGCAATCCTCGCTCGATCGAAGCTACCCTGGCTCGAGCGAAGGACCAAAACAAAGAGATCGCTCGAGCGAAGAAATGCTCGCTCGAGCGAAGAGTCAAAATTCTGGGCAGCAACACTGGATTTCTAAACCCAACCAACCTGAAACAAACCTGCCCAACACATCCTACAACTCCAAAAAAGAAAATAAGGGACAACAACAACAATTATACAATGACCGAATCTACGGAACCTAAGTCCGGATACAATAAACAAATGGGAAAAGACCGGGGTCGCTAT